TCCATTGACGGACACTATGATTGATTCTATCCTGTAAATAATGCTATAATTAATATGAATGTATATATAGATATACATCTGTTCCTATTACAACTCTTATTTGTCACATACTGGTGTCTTTTTTTTTTTTTGTCCCTTCAGTGCTGTTGATTCTTAATCACAGTCTACTTGAAATGGCTCAGTGTCCACCAATTCTTTTTGGTGCATTATTTCTGTGTATTATTTCCTTCATCTTTTAGTGCTTCCTGCATCTCAATATTTCCCCCATAGAATCCTTCAGTATTGCAATCTGAGGCTTGAATTTTTTTCCCTTCAATTCTTTCAGTTTGAGAAATGCAGAGCATATTCTTCCCTTTCTTGTAATGGTAGCTATAAAGTGTTCAGGTACTGAGAGCTATGCTTCCCACCATATGGACCAGAGGAGAAGAGGAAGTCAGTGTGCAAAGGAAGAGCAAGAAATTTCTGGAGAAGTGGGAGACCAGAGGCCAAGGTAGAGCCGTACAGAATCTGACTCCCCATTTCCACTCTCTTCTGACCTGCAGCCTGGACTTTGAGGTTCATCATTAACTTCCCTTTTTCTTAAGCTGAGCTCTGCCAGCATGTTGTTGTGTAATATGGAGTCGGAATTGACCCAAGGCTGACCCTCCTGGGGGTTTCAGGGACAGTTAGTCGAATGGGAGGAGATTAGCCATCATTCTCCTGCAGCATAGCCCATAGTAAATTGTTCTGATAACCTAAAGGCAGCACCTCTCTGTTGTTGTTGTTGTTGTTGTTGCTTTGTGCCGTTGAGTCGCTTGCGACTCATAGTGACCCTATGTACAACAGCCCTAAACTCTTCTCTGTCCTGTGCCAATCACACAGTCTCCAATACATCCATCCCAATTATCCCAGTCACTGAATCAAACCACCTCATAGGGGGTCTTCCTCTCCTGCAGTGTCCCTTCACCCTCCCAAGCAGGATGTTCCTCTTCAAGGACCGGTCCCTCCTTACAACATGTCCAAAGTATGTCAGACGAAGCCTCAGAATCCTTGCCTCCAAGGAGCTGCCTGGTTAAACCCTCTCCAGGATGAATCTGTTTGTTTTCTTAGCAGTCCAAGGTACGCTCAATACTCTTCTCCAGCACCACAGCTCAAAGGCATCCTCCTTAGTCATTGTCCAACTCTCTGACCCATAACAAGTGATTGCAAAGACCATGGCCTGTATCACACGCCCCTTAGTCTCCAGAGAGACACCATTGCTCTTCAGTACTTTGAAGAGGTTCCTAACAGCAGACTTTCCCATCACAATACATTTTTTAATTTGCTGGCTGCTGGTGCCAAGAATCTTGACTGTGGAGCCAAGCAAAGCCTCTCTTGTTCTAATTCACCAGCAGCTCCACTGCAGAAAGATGGGCAATATCCTCCTGTACAATTTACAGCCTCCAAATGCCCCTTGGAGTCTGAGTTATAAGTTTCTTAAGCTAAGTCAAGTCCACATCAGTTGCCTTTAATATAAAAGGATATCTGCCAGGAATTTGCATTTGAATTTTTACTTCTTCTCTAGGTCACAAAACAACTAAAATGGTAAATTAACCCAAAGGTAGCAAATTTGAGTCCTCCCAGAGGAACTTTGAAAGAAAGATCTAATCATCTATATTTGAAAAACCAGCCACTGACAATCTTTTCAGAGGTGGTTAATCACAATGGAGGAGATTGCTCATCCTTCTCACACAGACCTTGAACCTTGTGCCTTTGAGATTGCAGCACAGCTTCTTGTCACTAGGCCACCAGAGCTTTTCTCTCTCTCTCTCTCTCTCTCTATATATATATATATATATATCACACACATTGTTGTTAGGTGTCGTCTATAAAAAATAGATCTGAACTCTGTCCTGTCCTGTGCCATCCCTACACTTCCTGATACATGGGAGCCCATTGCAGGAATCACTGTGTCAGTCTACCTGGTTGAGGGTCTTCCTCTCCTTTGCTGACTCTCTGCCTTTCTGAGCATCATATCCCTCTCCTAGGAATAGCCCCTTCTACCAACATGCCTGAAGTATGTGAGGTGATGCTTCATTATCTTTGCCTCCAAAGAGGAGTCTGGCTGCATCTTCTCCAAGACATATTCCCTAGAATTCTCAGCAGAAGAAAGCCTTTTCAGTTTAGAATGAGTTTGAATGCCACCAGAGTTAGTTGGTTTACTGTGGAAAGACAGTGGTTCATGGAGTTGAGAATATAGGCTTTGAGGTCTGATGGGCCTTGGTAAGGACAATGAGTCTTTTGTGCCTCCATGAACCTAAGTGAGTCCTGTAGCTTCTTCATACATTGGGCCACTTGACTGTGAAACAGGATTTTATCTATATCTATATCACATGCAAGCAAGATTCTGCTGAAAATTATCCAAAAATGTTTGTAACAATATGTCAACAGAGAACTGCCAGATGTGCAGGCTGGATTTAGAAGAGGTCATGGTACGAGAGATATTACAGCTAATGTTAGATGGATCTTGGCAGAAAGCAAAGAATACCAGAAGAATGTCTATCTGTGCTTCATTGACTGTGTGGATCATAACAAGCTATGGCTGACTCTGAGAAGAATGGGAATCCCAGAACATTTGATTGTGCTACTGTGAAACCTATACTTGGACCAAGAGGCAGTCGTCAGAACAGAGCAGAGAGACACTGGATGGTTCAAAATCAAGAAAGGGGTCCATCAGGGATGTATTTTGTCTCCATAATTTTTCAAACTCTATGCAGAACAGATCATCCGAGACATTGGGTTGTGTGAGGAGGAATGTGGCATCAGGATTGGTGCAAGATTCATCAACAACCTGCATTATGCAGATGACACAGCCCTGCTTGCTGAAACGGAGGAGGACCTGAAGCGCTTGTTGCAGAAGGTCAAGGACTGCAGTTTTCAAAATGGATTGAAGCTCAACATCACCACTGGGCGAAATAGCAGCATCAGTATGGATAGGGAAGAGATTGAGATAGTTAACAGTTTTAGTTTGCTTGACTCCACAGTCAACACTCTTGGTAACAGCAGCCAGGAAATCAGGAGATGAATTGCATTGGGAAAGTCAGCTGTCAGGGACCTCTCAAGAGTACTGAAGAGCAATGACATCAGGCTGGAGACTAAGGTGTGCCTGATCCAGGCTATAGTCTTTGCAATTACGCGCTATGCGTCGGAGAGTTGGACAGTGAATAGGGATGAGAGAAAGAGAATTGATGCCTTTGAGTTGTGGTGCTGGAGAAGAGTGTTGAATATACCATGGACTGCTAGGAGAATAAACAGGTTTGTCCTGGAGAGGGTGAAGCCAGGCTGCTTCTTGGAGGCAAGGATTCTGAAGCCTCATCTGACATACTTTGGACATGTTGCAAGGGGGGACTGGTCCTTGGAGAGGGACATTATGCTTGGGAGAGTGGAGGGACAGCGCAGGAGAGGAAGACCCTTGATGAGATGGATCAATTCTGTGAGTGGAGTGGTGGGAATGAGTGTGTTTGAGATGGCGAGGTTGGCACAGGATAGAACAGCATTTAGGACTCTCGTACATAGGGTCGCAAGCGACTCGATGGCACATAACAACAACAACATATATCTATATGTGGAACCAATCATCAAGGGGGCTGGGCTCTATGAGGGGTGGGACTGATGATGAAGACTCATCAACAATCTGTGTTATGCAGATGACACAACCTTGCTTCCTGAAACTGAGGAGGACCTGAATGAAGCACTTAACACTTGATGCAGAAGAGTAAGGGCTGCAGTTGTCAATATGGATTGAAAAGCAATATCAAGGAAACAAAGATTCTTACCACCAGTCTGATTGGCAGCATCATGACAGACAGTGAAGAGACTGAGATTGTTAACAGCATTAGTTTTCGTGGCTCTACAATCAATACTATTGGTACTAGCACCCAGGAAATCAAAAGACAAATTTCATTGGGAAAATCTGCTGTCAGGGACATCTCCAGGGTACTGAAAAGCAATGATATTAGTCTAGAGAATAAGGTGCACCTGAACCAGGCCATGATCTTTGCAATTACTTGCTATGCATCAGAAAGCTGGACAATGACTAGGCATAATAGAAGGAGAATTGATGCCTTTGAGCTGTAGTACTAGAGAAGAGTATTGAATATACCATGGACTGTTAAGAGAACAAACAGGTTCATCATCGAGAGAGTGAAACCAGGCTGCTCTTTGGAGGCAAGGATTCTGAAGCTTTGTCTGACATACTTTGGGCATGTTGCAAGGACGGACCAGTCCTTGGAGAGGGATGTCATGCTTGGGAGGATGGAAGGACAACACAAGAGACTCAGACCCTGGATGAGATGGGTTGATTCAATGACTGGGGTAGTGGGGGTACGTGTGTCAGAGACAATAAGGTTGGTAAAAGATAGAGCAGAGTTCACAGCTGTTGTGCATAGGGGTGTTATGAATCGCAGGTGACTTGATGGCACATGACAATAGCAATTTATATGTAATGTGGCATCAAGATCAGAGAAAGACTCATCAATAACCTAGTCTAGGCAGCTCTGGTGGCTTAGTGGCAAGGACACCAAGTGAAAGCATGCAGTTTGAATCCTCCAGCTGCACCATGGGAGAAAGAAGGGCAATTTCCCCCTGTGTCATTTACTGTCTCTGAAAACCAATGGTACACAACAAAAACAATTGAAATCTAGAAAACTCCAGTGGCTTAGTAGTAAGGAGTTACTCTGCCAACCCAAAGGCACACAGTTTGAATCTCCCAGCTGCTCCATAGGTGAAAGATGAGCAATCTCCTCCTGGATGATTAACTGCCTCTGAAAACTGTTGGAGGGTCAGCAGTGAGTCCATTCCAGCTCATTGGTACACAGCAACAACAAGGTGAAGTCTGGGCTTCCAGAGTTGTGCAAACAATGCACTTAACTACTAACTTATAAGTGGGCAGTTTAAACCTCCCGAACCTTAAAAGAGGAATAGAAGAGAGGTCTTGTAATCTGCTTACATGAAGATGACAGCATGGAGCAGTCCCCGCTTGCATGGAGTATGCTAATTGGAATGAACAACAGTAGTTTTTGTTGATTGTTTGGTTTTTTTTTTTTTTTTGTTCTTTAGCTATGATCTGGGAGCCATGAGGATCAGGCGATTATGAACAACTCAGATTTCTTTTTCTGTAACTCAGAAGGGAGGTTAGAAACATCTCAGGCTACTTCACACCATATCACCCTCTCCTCATCCTGTGATTCTCCTTTCTGGTGCTGAGGGGCTAGGGGATGAAGGGAAGAAGAAGCAACCACAAGTTGGCAGGGTGATGGGAAGTAATGAGAAGTTGATTACATGTTTGGAAGATGGATAAACCGAAACCAATAGCTATAGAGTTGACCATGAATCATGTTCAAACGTAGAATTGCTTTTAAGGCTAGGACTTTTGGGAAGCAGGTCTTTGGGTCTTTCTCCTTAGGTGCAACTATTGTTGCTGTTAGGTGCTGTTGAGTTGTGCAAATCTCATAGTGACCATATGAACAACAGACCAGAACATTGTCCTATCCTGTGTCATCCTCCCAATCTCTGACATATTCAAGCCTATTGCTGCAGTCGCTGCTGTGTCAATCCATCTGGTTGAGGGTCTTCCTATTTTTTGCTGACTCTCTACATTTCTAAGCATGATGTCCCTTTCCAAGGGAGAACTTCTCATAGCAACAAGCCCATAGTATGTGAGATGAAGCTTTGTCCTCTATACTTCCAAGGGGCAATCTGGTTGCATCTTCTCTAAGACATATCTTTGTTCTTCTGGCAGTCCATGGGATATTCAGTACTCTTCTCCGATGCCACAGCCCAAAGGCATCATTTTTTCTGTCATCTTTATTCATTGTTCAGCTCTCATATGCATAGCAAGTGATTGAAAAGACCATACCCTGAATCAGGTGCACCTTAGTCCTCAAACTGACATGATTGCTCCTCAATAATTTGGAGAGGTCTTTGACTGCAGACGAGAGTCTTTCTTTTCTTGATGTTAAGATGCAATCCATACTGAAGGTTGACCCTTTGCAGCAAGTGCTTGGAGTCCTCTTCACTTTCAGCAAGCAAGGTGTGTCATCGATATAATGAATGTTATTTTAGGTGCCTCTAGTTGGATTCAATTACTAACCTTTCGAATAGTAGAAGAATGCTTAACCTGTTTATGCCACTCAGGGATTCCCACAACAATGGAGGGATGTCTGCTTGAAGCCAGATCTCTTCTTCCTTGCCTCACCAGTGAGCTCTTGAGTGGAGGTTAAGACAGAGAAGGACCTGAGAAGAGAGAAAGGGACTCTCTGAGAACATTGTTCTTGGGCAAAGGAAGGTCAGAAACTGAAGGGAGGCCCCAGAGCCATGGTTCTGAGTTGGGACCTGAGGAACAGAACTTCACAAGAGCTGAAATTAAAGGTGAAGATGAAGAGTCATGGACCCCTCCCCCATCTCACTCTGGAATGTTCCATGGCAGTTAGAGGCTCTGGCCTGCTGAGAGACTTTGGGATCCTGGCTGTGGATCAGGTGCTAATCAGAGGCTCCTCATTCTCTTCCAGACTCCTGCTCCTGGCAGCTTCCTAGCCTGATGAAAACTTAAAAAACAAGAGTCAGCTTGGCCTGGCAAGCGGTGGTAGAAGGTGATGTGGTAGAAGCTGGAAAGAAGGGCAAGGTGTTCTGCAGAGGGGAGCAGTAGCCTTTGGGATGCAATCTGGGTCACGAGGAGTCAGGGGTGAACACCAGAGGCCCAAAGAGGAGTGCTGGGAAGCCAAATGGAGAAGAGAGGCTGGGACAAGAGAGGAGGGGCAGGCCTCTCTTAGCACTTCCCGTGTTCCCAGACAGCTGGTCACACTCCAGCGACGGGGGTCCCAAGAATGCTTACGACAGACATCTAGCTTCAGGAAGATGCAGGTGCTGACCTCAGAGCTTAGCCTGGCTGCCCTCAGCCTGCTGCTCTTGATGGCTTTCTCCAAGAATTGGCTCTACCCCGCTGGGAGCCGTTTCTTCCAGTACTGGCCAGCAAATGTCAGCGCTGAAATCCACACCTATGTCCATATCATGTCTATGGGGTTCTTTCTGGACTGGAAATCTCATCCTCATGCCACAGAATACAGGAAAGGTAAGGTCCCACCTGCCCCACTGAGGGCCTTCCAGCCGGCCTTGGTCTTTACATTGTCATCCCTAGGATCCTTGCCTCCTTCCCTGGGGATGACCCCATTCCCCAGGCCCCACGATGACTCTGCTGGTATTGAGTTTTCCCAGGATCACTTTCTCCCTCCCAGTTCTGCCAGACCCATTGGAAAATGTTACTGTTTTTAGTAAGGCCAAGCCTGGGCTTAGAAAAAAAGTTATGTGATGTGTGGACTCTAAGCACATGTGAAAGATAAAGAAAAGCCAAACAAACAAACAATCCAACTCAATCACTGATGAACGATTTTAATCATGGTGGTACATGTAGAACTGTCCCACATAGATTTTTCAAGACTGTGACCTTTTAGAAGAACGTCATCAGGCCCTTTCTTTCAAGGCCTCTGGGTGTGTTTAGAGCTGCCAGTCATTGTTTTTAGGTGCCATCAAGTAGACGGTGACTCTATGAACAAGAAATCTTACCCTTGCCCTATCCTCCACCATACTCATCATCATTGCTATTCTCAAACTCATTGTTACAGTCACTGTGTCAATTGATCTTGTGGAAGGTCTTTCTTTTGCTGACCCCTCACCTTTTCTCCTTTTCTAGCATATTGTCTTTTTCCAAGGACTCACCCCTCCTCAGTTTAAAGACTAAGGTGTCCCTGATCTAAGCCATTGTCTTTTCAATTGCTTCTTGTACAGCTTAAAGTTGGACAATGAATAAGGAAGACAAAAGAAGAATTGATGCCTTTGAAATGTGGCTTTGGAGAAGAGTTACTAGTTATTGTTGTGTGTGTGCTCTAGAATCAACTATGACTCACAGCGACCCTAAGAATAATGGTCCTTATGACATATCTTGTGCCATCCTCACCACCTCTGATATACTTGGCCCATCACTGCAGTAACTGTACCCAGCCAGCTTGTTAAGGGTCTTCCTCTCTTTCTCTGACCCACTACTTTTTCAAGCATAATGTCCTTCTCCAAGGACTGGCTCCTTGTGGCAACATGCCCCAAATAGGTAAGATTAAGCTTCACCACCCTTGCCTCCAGTGAGGACCCTGGTTACACTTTTTCCAAGACACGTTTGTTCATTTGGCAGTCCATGGGAAACTTGAGTTACTCCCCCAAATGCATCAGTTTTTTTATTGGCCGAGAGTCCCAAGGAATGATTTTCTCTAATCTCTCAGACCTTAACTTTGAGGGGAGCCCCCCGGACCTCTCTCCACCAGGCCCTGACCCAGTCACTTTCTTATCTTTGCAGTCCCTTAATCACCTCTGGGTCTCTGAGAGTTTTTCCATTTTTCAAGTTTGGTTTCCTTATTCCTTTGCTTTCACTTGAATGATACAGCTTACTCAGCTCTACAATCAACACTCTTGTCACCAGTAGTCAGGAAATTAAAAGACAAATTGCATTAGGTGAATCAGCTGCTAGGGACCTTTCCAGAATACTGAGAAGCAACAATGTCAATCTAGAGACTAAGGTGTGTCTGATCCAGTCCATGGTATTTGCAATTACTTGTTTCGCGTAAGAGACCAGACAATGATTGATGACAGAAAAATCTATGCCTTTGAGTTGTGGTGCTGGAGAAGAGTCTTGAACATACCATGGACTACCAAGAAAACAAACAAGTCTATCTTAGAGAGAGTGAAACCAAGTTTCTCCCTGGAGGCTAGGATTTTGAAGCTCTGTAGCACATACTTTGGGCATGGGTCCTTGGAGAAGAGCGTCGTGCTCAGAAGGGTGGAGTGACAGTGCAGAAGATAAAGACCCCGGATGAGATGGACTGATAACAGGAACTAGGGCAATGAGGATAGGTGTGTCAGAGTCAGTGACATTGCTCAGGACAATGCATGCTTCAGAGCTATTGTACATAGATAGCATCGCTATGAGTGACAGGTGACTTGATGGCACATAACAAAAACAAAAAATTCTTCTTAACAGTGTAAAGCAATGAAAAAAGTTACCTGACTATTCATTATTGTTGTGTACTGACCCATAGCTGACTCTTTGGAAGGTTTTCAGAGGCAGTTAATTGCATGGGAGGAGATTGCCCACCATTCTCCTGCAGAGCAGCAGGTGGCCTAGAACCATGTGTCTTTGAGACTGCAGCACTGCTTCCTGCCACTAGGCCACCAGAGCTCCCCATCCTTCTGGCAAAAAATGTGGGGAGGTGGGGAAAGTGGGGAAAGAAAAATTAGCATATTACACATTTTATACTATTTGTCCAATTTAATCTACAATCAACCCAAAGAGGTGGGAAGGTATTTTTAGAGAGGTTGTTGTTGTTATGTGCCATCGAGTCGTCTGCGACTCAGAAGAAAATGGATATTCAGAGAGATTAAGAATTTAGCCCAAGAATGTTGAGTTACTCATTCATCCACTCACTGTCATCACCATAGAGTGAAAAACCAACTCATAGTTGACTCTCTGATGAATTTCAGAGGCTGTAAAACACATGGAAGGATTTTGACCATCCTCCTGCAGAATCCTGGAGGGTGGGAGTGGTGAGGATGGATGGGTGGTGGATGAAGGGGAGATTAAAACAGCCAGAGAAGTGTGGCCTTTGTGTTAGCAACGCAACTTCCCACGGGCTAAGCCACCAGAGCTCCCAATAAAGCTGTTGTAGTTGTGAACAATAGAGTAAGAAGCGACTCCGGATTTTCAGAAGTAGTTAATCTCATAGGAGGAGATCGCCCATCTTTCTGCAGAGCAGTTAACGCGTTCAAACTGCGTGCAGCTTCTTACCACTAAGCCACCAGAGCTTCCTAATAAAGCTGTTAGGTAGAAGCAAATGGAATTGTTACTTTTGATGGCTTTTCCTCTATTAAAAGGGAAATTTTATACTGTTGTTGCTATTATAGGTTAACATAAAAATGCAGGTCTGTGTCTGATTCCCAAACTCACATCTGTGGTACCATGCAGAAACAGCCGTGAGCTAGTTTGATGCACGCTCATTTTTCTGGGCTTTTTTCTTTAAACAAATTTTGAATGTTTTTACATTACTGTAATAATTTCTCAAAAGCAATTTTATATCCTTTTAAAATTAGTCTCCAATATAGAATAAGCATTTCCTTATTGTAAGCAACTATATAAAATTTTATATGTTCATTATTTTGTTTTATTTTGTTAATTTTAATGAACATTTAGAGATTTTGGATTTTCATTCATTCATTGTTGCACTTTTTTCTTTACCCCCCTTCCCCCTGTTTGCTCCTCTTTGAAAAACAAAAGACAAACTTCGTTGGACATTCATCATCTTTAATTTGACTGTTTTATTTCCCTACTCTTGGAAAACACATTTCCAATTTCATGTTTGAAAGAGAAGGACCAGTGAAGCTTGTTAATTTATGTTGGAATTTTTTCTGTATTTAGTGGGAATTCTTTGGGACAAGTTCTCAAATTGGGTTTATTGGACCAATGAAAGTAAACATTTTAGAGCTCTAATTTATTTCAACACGTATGATGCAAATTGCATTTCCACTAGCAATATGAGAGAAGGTTTGTTTCATTTTACCTATTAACTTTAAATATAGAAATACTTAGGGTGTTTTCTGAGTGAAGTTGCACAGTCATTACAGAAATAGAAAACTTTGAGAAAGAGAATAAAAGTTGCCTAAAATTTCCCTACATAGCTATTATCACTGTAGACATTGTAATGAAATGACGTTTTCCACTTTTTACATACATTATAGTGTAAAAAGTTACATAGATTTCAATATTTATATTTATATATTTACAGAAATACAAATATAGATAAATATTTATATATACTATATACTTATAATTTATATATTATTTATATCATTTTTATTCACAAATATTTCTATTTATGTATTGATGTGCGAAATGTGTATGATTCCTACATATTTCAAGGTTTCAATCATCCTACTTATTCTATTTTTTCAAAGTGTACTTTTTAGTTAAACACTTTCTCTGATGTCATTAAGTAATTCTTACATAATATCACTAAAGGGAAATAATTCTTTGATTACTTGGTATATGAACAGAGTGAAAATTCTAAAATCTATAAAACAAGCTTGGCAGCAGGAGTGGCATCCACTTCTGTAATAGCTTGCCTTTGGAAACCCTATGAACTTGGAGAAAGGACGAAAGTTACACAGGTGTCCAGGTCTTTCGTTCATAGGGTAGCTATGGGTCACCTGCAACTCCTACAGCACCTACCAACAACAACAACATAGACGTTTATAAGGTGAAGTTTGTCCTCTATTTCCAGGCTTTGATTTCCCCTCCCTGAGACCACCACTACTACCTACCAGTTTCTTGTGTGTCTTTCCAGGGCCATCAACAACAACAAAAATCTCAAAAGCCAAAAAAAGCAACTCACTGTCCTTGGGTTTATTGTGACTCTTAACAAATCTCCCCCTGGGTGTCTGAGGCTCTGAAGTCTTTATGGGAGATTGTCTATCTTTCTCCCATAGAGTCAATGGTGGATTTGCATTACCAACCTTTCAGCTAGCTGCTCATTGTGGTATAATTCACCACCAGGGTTACGTATTTGGAAATAAGCATTTGGTATATTACCATTTTTTATAATCTGATCCACCTCAGTGTGAAGCTTGCACGAGCAGGTTTCAGTAATGTTTACAGTATAAGGCAGACAGAAAGAAAGGCCTGGTGACTTAGTTCTGAGAATGAATCAATGAAAATCTGTGTATCATCAGGGTTCTGTTCCATTGTGTTTGGGTACCATGAGTTATGAACAGAATGGAAGGCAGCTATCAACAATAATTTATTTAATCACTAATTGGGCCTATCAATATCTCTGCAAAGAAGAGGGCCGGGGGTGGGGGGAGAACTTCCCTGTGCATACATATTGGTGCACATCTGTTATTACCTTAATGTAGTTTCCAAGAACAAGCATTGCTGGTATACAAGGTTTTAATTTGACTTCTATGTGAAGTCACATCTTCTATACTAACAACAAACAAATGAACAACTCATTGCTGACTCTCACTTGAATCAGAACTGACTCATAGCTGACCCTCCAAAGAGCTTTCAGAGGCTGTAAATCACACAGGTGGATATTTACTTTCCTCTTTCTGCCTTGAAGTAGCTTGTGGCTTCAAACAAGCTGTCTCTGGGTTGGCAGTGAACTCCCTGACCACTAGGTCAATAAATCTCCATTTTAACCTTAGCAACAATCAAAACAAAATGGATGATACCACTTCCTCACAAATATCATCAATTTTGTTTTGATCTTTGCTAAACTGATTGACACAATGACTTGAGCAATGGGCTCAAGCACGTCTGCGATGATGAGGATGGCACAGGATAGGACAGAGTTCAGGTCTGCTGGTTATAGGGTGGCAATGAGCTGTTCTCTACCTGACATCATCTACTAATACCAACAGCAACAACAATCTGATAAATTAAAAAAACCCACAAACTTAATTTACGTTTCACTTTTTTGGTGTTGAGTTTCTTTTATGCTGCTTATTCTTATGTGCCATCAAGTAGCTGACCCTTCAGCAGTTTCTCAGAGGCTGTGAATAATAGCACAGGAGAAGATTGTCCATCTTTCTCCCATGGAGCAACTGGTGGCTCCAAACCACATGCCTTTGGGCTGGCAGCTCAACTTCTTACGCCAACCTACATAGTAACTTACCAGAGCTCTCTATGTTTATTGTTGTGTGCCATCGAGTCACTTGCGACTCATAGTGACCCTATGTACAACATGCTTAAACTCTGTTCTGTCCTGTGCCAATAGCACCGTCTCCCATACACCCATCCCAATTACCCCAGTCACTGAATCAATCCATCTCATAGGGGGCCTTCCTCTTCTGCTCTGTCCCTCCACCCTACCAAGCATGATGTCCCTCTCCAAGGACCTGTCCCTCTTTTCATCATGTCCAAAGTATGTTAGAGGGAACCTTAGAATCCTTGCCTCCAAGGAGCAGCCCGGTTTGACCCTTTCCAGGATGAATCTGTTTGTTTTCCTAGCCATCCGTGGTACCCTCAATACTCTTCTCCAGCACCACAGCTCAAAGGCATCACTTCTTCTATCCTCCTTAGTCATTGTCCAACTCTCTGATGCATAGCAAGTGATAGCAAAGACCATGGCCTGTATCAGACGCACCTTAGTCTCCAAAGAGACACCATTGCTCTTCAGTACTTTGGAGAGGTCCCTAACACCAGACTTTCCCATGGCAATACATCTTCTAATTTCCTGGCTACTGGTGCCGAGAGTGTTGACTGTGGGGCCAAGCAAACTGAAGCTGTGAACAATCTCAACCTCTTCACCGTCCATCCTGATGCTGCCAATTGGCCCAGTGGTGAGAATCTTTGTCTTCTTGACATTGAGCCTCAATCCATATTGGAGGCTGCAGTACCCTCTGCAGCAAGCGCTTCAGATCCTCCTCAGTTTCAGCAAGCAGGGTTGTGTCATCTGCATATCGCAGATTGCTGATAGATCTTCCACCAATCTTGATCCCACATTTCTCCTCATAGAGCCCAGCCTCCCGGATAATCTGTTCTGCATACAGGTTGAAAAGGTATGGAGACAGGACACATCCCTGGCGTACACCCTTCCCAATTTTGAACCATGCAGTGTTCCCTTGCTCTGTTCTGACGACTGCCTCTTGGCCCCAGTATAGGTTTCTCATTAGCACAATCAAGTGTTCTGGTATTCTCATTCGTCTCACAGTCAGCCACAGTTTGTTATCATCCACACAGTCAAATGCCTTTGCATAGTCAATGAAACACAGATATATATTCCTCTGGTAGTCCCTGCTTTCAGCTAAGATCCAACTAACATCAGCTACAATATCCCTAGTACCACGACTCCTTCTAAACCCAGCCTGGACTTCTGGCAGTTCTCTGCTGATGTCTTCTGAGAATTCTAGTTCACATCTTCTGTCCATTTTTCTATGGAGGTCTTCTTTTTAATAGAGTTAGAGGCTGCACAGCATTCCCTAAGGCACATGGTTCAGATCCAAAAGCTGCTCTGTGGGAGAAAGATGGGCAATCTTGGTCCACATAATTCATTGTCTCTGAAACCCATTGGAAAGTCAGCTGTGGGTTGGTTCCGACACTATGGTACACAACAATGACAACTATCAAATAGTACAGTATGTACAATCTTATTTAATAAATTAAAATGGTATTTCATTATCATTTTACATTTGCAAAACCAGTTGGCCTAGTGGACCGAAATGATGCTACCAAGCCAAAGGTTGATGACTCTAATCCGCGACCCTCAGGCCTGTTTTTAATTGTTTTTGGTCAAATATTCTTCTAGGTCATATAGCCCTGGTGTGTCTACTTGCCGTTCAGAGGTAACTTGTGGTTGCTGTGAAACTGAACACTGTGGCACTGATGTGTCAAATGACATAAGGGTTACCTATGGTGGACAGTGTTTGGTGGAGCTCCCCGAGTTCCCAAGCTTGGAAGCACGAGTGGCATCCATTTTCGTAAATAACTTGCCTCCGGAAACCCTATGAACCTGGAGAAAGGATGAAAGTCACGCAACTGTGGAGGAGTTTTGTTCATAGGGTCACTATGAGTCACCTATGACTCGACGGCTCTTAACAACAACAACAACAACTACTACTACTATCTTATTTATGAACTGCAGCATTTTCTAATTGCTCATCTATATTTCCTCTATTGTGAATCCCTTGTTTGTTCTGTTTTCTCATTCTTCTCCAGATATTTTTAAGCAATGGAAAAATCAGCCATTCTTTGAGTTGGCCAAATTAAGCTTCTTCATTGCCCTTGGACTGGGCTTTGTCCTCACCGCCTGGCTGCATCTGCCATACTTGCCTGTCTTTCAGAGACTACCTGCCGTTGGCTGGACTGGGACCATTATGAGCATCTGTGAAGGTACCCTAGCTCTGAAAAAGGCCTTTAGTTTCTCCTAACCCACTCCTTCCTTTGCTCTTCTTTCTTTTCTCAGGGATTTTTGTGGGTGGTGGGAGAACTGGACCGAACATATGTTACTGAGAATTGTGGCACATAATTTCCTAGCCACTGGACAGGTGGAGGTGAAGGGGCTGAGTCCCATGACCCTTTTGGGCCAGGACTCTGTGTGTGAGGATGAAAGTTGGGGTTTGCGGCTGTAACTCGGCTGTAACTAAGCAGATGAGGAAGCATCCTTGTGGGATTCTTGATGAAAATAAGACTTTTCCACTTCCTGTTTCCCAGTCACCTTCGTTTTCTTCACCCTCATGTTGTTCCCTATAAACCTCTGGATCTTTGAGTGGAAGAGGAATTTATCAATTCCCATTGGCTGGAGCTATTTCATTGGTTGGTTGACATTTTCCCTGTATATCATCTGTGGTAAGTGGCCAGGAGAGTTCTGGGAGAAAAAGGGGACAGGGATGGGTGGGCAGAGAGAATATGTGGGAGGCATGTGCCAATCCCCTGGGATAGGTTCTAAAGGCCTCATCTTCCCTTTGGCCTCATTTCCCTTGCCAGTTTCCCTCTTCCTCTCCCAACTTTCCTCTCTCACATCCTCTGTTCTTTCTCAGCAGTTCTTTGCTACTTCAACCAAAGAAATCTCCAGCATTCGAATCTGACATATCCCTTTGGCTCCGTATCCTGCAGCAGCACTTTTCCCATGGTTAAGAAGTGTCTGAAAGAGAACACAGATTACTGGCACCCCAAGATCCTGAGAAAAAAGATGGGGATGTCTCCATAACCTTTTCTTAGGGCTCATCAGCACCAGGTTCTGCAAATTCATCAGACTCCCTTTCCTCACCCTTCTCCCCATGCCTGAGTGAAAGGCCCTCTCACCATGGTCAGGTCAGCAAGGGAAGGACTTTAAGTCAGTTTTTCACACTTCTTCCTTGTTCCTTCTCTGCCTCCAGCTGAGGGACATGCAATAAATTGTCTGTCTCTTCTTTGTCGTCTCTGGGAGTTACTGAGGTAAATTGGAATTTGATAAGGGGAGGTGTGAGGGGAGAAGAAAAAAAACAACCCACAAAAACCCCACAAACAACAAATATGTTTATTTCTACCTATTTCAAAGTTGTAATCATCCTACTTATTCTATTTTTGTAAACTGCCTTTTTAGTTAAATACTTACGCTGATGTCATTAATTCTCCCATAACATCACTAAGCTTAAATATTTCCTTGATTACTGACATACTTTGTGCATGTTGCAAGGAGGGACTGGTCCTTGGAGAGGGACATCATGTTTGGGAGAGTGGAGGGACGGCGGAGGAGAGGAAGACCCTTGATGAGATGGATCAATTCTGTGAGTGGAGTGGTGGGAATGAGTATGTTTGAGATGGTGAGGTTGGCACAGAATTGAACGGCATTTAGGGCTCTTGTACATAGGGCCACCATGAGTTGCAAGTAACTCGATGGTACATAACAACAACTTGGTATATGAAAATTCTAAAATTTATAGACGATTATAAGGTAAAGTTTGTCCTTTAAAAAAAATCCACGTATGTTCCTGGTTCTCTCTGTCTAGGAATCTTGGCACTCTGTTGGTTCCTAAGCCTGACAAACCTCCACAAGGTACTTGTGCACAAGCACACAATTTCTCCAGAGCTAAGATGTCTTTTGCTTTGTGTTGTCTTGTCTCAATTGTGTGGAGTCATAGGCAATCAGGAACTGGTCCACCCCTAATGGTCCAGACACCTAATGACAATAGCATACCTCATAAAGAAGTTGTATCAGAAATATGCAAAGAACTTGTGAAACTCGATGATAACAAAATGAACAATCTGATAAGAAATGGGCAAAAGATATGAGCAGGGACTTTGCCAATGAAGATACACACATGACATGTTATTGTTAGATGCCATCGAGTCAAGTATAACTCATAGCAACTCTGTGAACAACAGATCTCAATCCTGTCCTATCCTGTGTCATCCTCATCATCTCTGATGCACTTGAGCCCATTGCTGCAGTTACCCTGTCAATGCACCTCATTGCAGGTCTTCTTCTCTATTGCTGATTCTCCATCTTTCCAAGCTTGATGTCCCTTCCAAAGGAATAGCCTCTCCTAGCAACATTTCAGAGAAAGAGAGTCAGCAACTTCATCTTACTTGGATTCATAGTCAATACTTTTGGTACCAGCTATTAGGAGATCAGGATTGCCCTGGGAAAGTCTGTAGTCAGGGACCTTTCCAAGAAGAGATTGAAATTGTTAACAATCTCAGCTTGCTCAGCTCCACAATCAACACTCTTGGCATCAGTAGTCAGAAAGTAAAAAGATAAACTGCACTTGGGAAGCATGATGTGCTTCAAACTGCTAAAGACTAATGATATCAGTCTAGGGACGACTAAGGCTGACAGAAGAAGAATGCCTTTGAGTTGTGGTGCTAGAGAAGAGTATTGGGCATACCATGGGCTGCCAAGGGAACAAACAGGTCTGTCTTGGAGAGGGTGAAAACAAGTTTCTCCTTGGAGGCAAGGATTTTGAACTCTGTCTCACATACTTTGGACACAAGGCCAGCATGGACCAGTCCTAGGAGAAGGACCTCATGCTTGGAAGAGTAGAGGGACAGTGCAGGAGAGGAAGACCCCAGATGAGATGAATTGACACAGTATCTGGAGTAATGTGCTTTGGTGTGTTGGAATCAGAGAGACTGGCTCAGGATAGATCAAGGTTCAAAGCTATTGTACATAGGGTTGCTATGAGTCACAGGCAATGGCATACAACAACAATAACAGCAAGGACGTCAGTTTAAGACTAAGGTATATCTGATTTAGGCCATGATCTTCCGATCACTTGCTATGCATCTGAGAGCTGGACAACGAATAAGGATGAAAGAAGAACTGATGCCTTTGAATTGTGGTGTTGGAGAAGAGCGCTGAATATTCCATGGATTACCAAAAGAACAAACAGATATGTCCTGGAGAAGGTGCAGCCAGAGTTATCCTTGGAGGCAAAGATGATGAAGCTCTTTTCTTTCTTTCTTTTTTTATTGGGAAAAAACATATTGGGGGTACAAGGAGGTGAGGGGTAGGGGCAGAAGGGTGAGGATGGGCAGGGATGCAGTTGCAGAGCTGCAGAAATTGGCTGGTGGGGGGAATAGGTGAAGGAAATGAAAAGGATCCATTGGGGGACCAGATGCTACAGGAAAATGACAAGCATTTTCCAGTGGTAATTAAATCAACTGTCTTATTGATTTGGGAACTGGATGCCGACTTTCTGGTGAAGCTCTTTTCCAACATCATAATTAGTGAAGGATTGATGTAAATTTTAACATACATATAAGTTTAAATGTATTTGATAGGATTTATCAGCAAAACCACTTGATGTAGGACTTATATCTTTGTAGAAAGTTTTGAGGTTTCTAAAATTAATCTGGTTGGTTGATACAGGTAAATTAAGATTTTCTATTGCATATTGAATAAATGTGCACAGTTTATGTTTTTCTAGGAATTTGTCCATTTTATCTACTTGTTAGCATAATTACATGTGCCCTGGTGGTGTAGACCATAGGGAATCAGGCTGCTAACCCAAAGGTGTCTTCTCGGCTCAAATCTACTTAGACAATCTCCTTCTGTGGAATTTACAGCCTCCAAAAACTCACAGGGGGGGGTTAACTGTGAGTAGGTTCTGACAGCAATGATACCCTTATAATTATTTTTCTTTCTGCAAAGTTTGTAGTAATATCCTCTCTCTCATTTTAAAAAATAATTTGCTTTAATGACAATATGTATACCATGTTTTTGCCTCCAGCTTGGAGCAGTTAGATTCTGGAGGATAAGTTGTTTGGATTTACTTGAAAGTCAGGAGCAAACTGTTTGGGCATTTTTTATTTTGTTACGAGTCAAGTGTAAGCTGATTGGCTGGTGTGATTTTGTTAACAATCAATGTGGGCTGGAAGTCTCTTGCTTAAGCAATCGGGACCTGGTTGGTGTGCCTTTGTATTTAAAAGTTGATTGGGTGCTGACCAAATTGTTGAGGAGTAATGGTGTCATTTTGAGGATAAGGTGCATCTGATTCAGGCCTTAGTCTTTTTGATCACTTGCTATGCATCTCAAATCTAGACAATGAAAAAGGATGACAGAAAAAGAACTGATGCCTTTGAGCTGTGGTGTTGGAGAAGAGCACTGAATATCCCACGGATGGCCAAAAAAGAAACAAATACGTCTTGGAGAAGAGGCAGCCAGAGGTGCTCTTTGGGGGCAAGAGTAACGAGGCTTTGTTTCACTTACCCTGGGTATGTTCCTAGGAAGGCTCTTCCTTGGAGAAGGACATGATGCTGGGATGGGTGGAGAGTCAGCAAAGGAGAGGAAGACCCTCAACCAAGTGGATTGACATGGTTACTGCTGCAATGGGCTATTGTGTGTCAGGAAATGTGAGGATGGCACAGGATAGAACAGAGTTCAGATTTTTTAAAAAAATCTGTTGCTATTACCTTAATTACTTTTTAAAATTATTATTATTTTTGTGTATGTACCATCAAATCAGATCTGACAGACACAGGAGGAGATTGCCCCTCCTTCTCCTGCAGAGCATCTGGTGTATTCAAATTCTATACCTCTGTGATTGCAGTGCAGCTTCTTGCCACTAGGCCACCAGAGTTCCCTAGAGTTCAGATCTTTTGTTCATAGAGTTACTATGAGTCATCCTTGACTGAGGGGCACCTAACAAGAACAATGCCATGTTATTACAATGGATACGCAATTTGCTTGGACAAGAAAATTTACAAATTTACTCTTAAATGTTGTGTCTGACCAAATCAGCTATTTCATCAAATCACTAATTACTTCAAGTATGGTTTACTTTAGCATTTATGATTGTTGTTATGTGCCGTCGAGTCACTTGCGACTCATAGCAACCCTATGTACAACAGCCCTAAACTCTGCTCTGTCCTGTGCCAATCGTACCATCTCCGATACACCCATCCCCATTACCCCAGTCACTGAATCAATCCACCTCAAAGGGGGCCCTCCCCTTCTGCTCTGTCCCTCCACCCTACCAAGCATGATGTCCTTCTCCAAGGACCTGTCCCTCCTTGCATCATGTCCAAAGTATGTTAGATGGAGCCTTTGAATCCTTGCCTCCAAGGAGCAACCCAGTTTAACCCTTTCCAGGATGAATCTGTTTGTTTTCCTAGCAGTCCATGGTACCCTCAATACTCTTCTCCAGCACCACAGCTCAAAGGCATCAATTCTCCTTCTATCCTCCTTAGTCATTGTCCAACTCTCTGATGCATAGCAAGTGATAGCAAAGACCATGGCCTGTATCAGATGCACCTTAGTCTCTGAAGAGACACCATTGCTCTTCAGTACTTTGGAGAGGTCCCTAACAGCAAACTTTTCCATGGCAATATGTTTTCTAATTTCCTGGCTACTGGTGCCAAGAGTGTTGACTGTCTTAAATTGCATTTATGATTAGTACACAGAAAATGAAAACTCTGCACATATTTAAATTACTTTTCATTTACTTTTGGATTCACAGTGAAATTATATAACTTCTATTTTAAGCTGACATTTAAAAAATGTTCTAATATGGCAACAGCAAAAATTTTAAAATTTCAAAAGAGCTAAACTGGACTCCATTACTAAGTTATTCTCATGTGTGTTAAGTATCACCCTGTAATAAATATTACTATTAAGCAGAGATTGCCAGTCTTTGCATTTTAGTTTAAACACCCCTACCCACCTTTATTTTCAGTTGTAGGAGACAGCATGTTATATTCCATCCAATTTTTTCAAAGATTTCTTCA